GCACGTGGTTAATTTAACCGAATAATATGGCCATGATTAGCATTGTTGAATACTTGACTACGAATTTAGTATCTGGTGGAACTATATTGTTACATAAGGAGGATTTACAAATATTGCAAGTCTTGGGAATCCTACACCAGACCATGTGGATTTTTAATTAAATTGCATGGTTCATTACTGTCTCGATGATGGTGGGTTAGGTTTTCCTCGCCTGTAAGTCATATAGCATCACCATCATCATCATCTTTAAGTCGCCCCGGAGCGCCACGGCAAATAATAATAATAATAGCCGTCCCTTCTCCTACACAAGTCGTTCAGTCGACTTGAGGGGTTGAAATTCACTCGTAATGGGGTGAATTAGGGAAGTATTATTATTATTATTTCAAAATAAAAAGAATATTATCTTTGTTTTATATAGATCTCCAAGCAGCAGCATGGCACGATTCTTAGATTTGTTTGAAAATTTGTTTTAGAGTAATATTGGTGAAACAAACGATAGAATAATTATATGTGGCGATTTTAATATAAACTGGATAGAGGGTACTATATATAGTAATAGATTAAAAAATATTTTTAGTGATATGGGTTTTAAAAATGTAATAAATGAGTTTTTGCATATAAATGATAGGGGAGGGACATTAATAGATTTAGTTTTGTCCAATATAGAACTTAATGTTACAATATTTGATGAACCAAAAATAAGCAGTTATCGCAATATAACAATATCACTGAAAAATATTCAACTAAATAAGCAGAATGATGAATATTGTTTAGAGACCAGGGGAAGAAATATAGACTCAATTAATGTATGTTCAGCGATAATTCTTTAACACGGTGTCCGATTTCAATGATTCTTTTTTTGTTGGAAAGGAGGTATTTCAGGGGTGGTCCCATATAAATTTGGTCAAAATCTAATAATTGGGTCCATGAGAAAATCCTCAAACTCTTCATTTTTTATGTATGTTTAGCGATAATGCTTTACCACCTTGTCCGATTTATATGATTCTTCTTTTGTTAGTAAGGGGGTACCTCAGGGGTGGCGCCATATAAATTTGGTTAAGATGTGGTGATGGCATCTGCACGTTTTTGAAGTCGATTTTTTAAATTTTTAATTTCTAATACGTCATCTTTCAACGTCGGTAAATCACACTAGGCAAGCAAAGATAAAAGTTCACTTTCACTAGGTTCTTGCTTAATGTCATTGACGCCCACGTACAAATCTTCCACTTTATGTTCTTTTTTACTATTTATAGTGACATTTTGCACATGTTCACAATATTGTACATAATCGTGATCGACTTTTATCAACAAATCCGAATGTTCAAGTTTAGGAGAGAAATTTTGCGAGTATTCGTATTCGCGCACATAATTATGTTCCATTTTTATCAATAAAAACAAATCCGAACCTAAACATTGTTCGAGTTTCCCTCTTCACATTCTATAATTTCTTGTTTTATTTCAATTTCATTAACATACGATTCAAAAGGTTCTTATAATGGGCTTTATATTGGTCCTTAATTTGAAATACGACACAAATCAAAAAGTCCAACTATAAAACTTGATGAAAGTTATAAAAAAAGCTATATAACAAGTATTAGAAATTAAACCAAATTTATATGGGACCACCCCTGAGGTACCTCCTTACTAACAAAAAAGAATCATATAAATCGGACAAGGTGGTAAAGCATTATCGCTAAACATACATAAAAAATGAAGAGTTTGAGAATTTTCTCATGGACCCAATTATTAGATTTTTACCAAATTTATATGGGACCACCCCTGAAGTATCCCCTTTCTAACAAAAAAAGAATCATTGAAATCGGACATCGTGTTAAAAAAAAAAATATCTCGACGAATTGAGCACCTCCTCTTTTTTTGAAGTCGGTTAAAAATCAAAATCGGTCAGGCTCCAGTATACCTGTGGGATAAGTTAACTACAATTCATAAATATGAAACTAGATCCAGGCATAACTTAGATACAAACGTGTAGGAAAAGTAGTACATTTAATTCAATTTTTAATAAAGGCATGATTATGTATAATAACCTACCAAACGATATAAAAGATAGTTCATCTCTATATATTTTTAAGTACAGATTGAAGGAATATTTTTTGGCTACATAAGTGTTTTATTTAGTATTTGTGTATGTAACTAAGTTTTATTTATTTTTATGTAATATTAGTTGTATTAGTATTTTTAAAATTGTGTACTGTAAATGAATTAGTTTTAGACTAAATAAAGAGACATATATATGGGTGATTCTCGCCTAACTGTGATTTTTACAACTTACATTTTTCTAAAATTAAAAATGTTTCAAAACGTATGTTTTACGCGTTTTTGTTTTCTATTTATGCATAGAAATAAGCCTGTAAAGTGATTCTACTACAGCTACGACACAACGAAAACTGTGACAAAATTTAAAAATTTTAATGCCACGGTACTAACATTATTTCCACGGTACTGACATATAAATGATTATTTTTTTTAACAATCCAAAGATTGGTATAAAATTGCAATAAAATTCAATGCAGTATGCATTAGATTGTAGTTATAAGAGGTAAATTTTATATTAAAAAATGAATTTTGATAGAAATTTATATATTTAATTTTAAAAATGAGAATCGGACATGCCACGGTACTGACATTTCGAGTATATTTATATGAAGCTTAAAAAAATTACGAAGGTTTATGATCTAATTCATAATGTCGGTTGTAAAATACCTCTAAATTTATAATATTATTAACTTTTTGATGAGGAAAACTTGTGCTAAACGATAAATAAAACACTGGACATAAAAAATCACAGTTAGGCGAGAATCACCCATATAATTCGGGGGTTTACTAAACATGTCTGTTTTCATCAACTTTCATAGCCCGTAAGTATATGAATTTTGGAGGCAAAAAAATCAGCTGCGGAGTATTTTTTTTAGAGTATTTCATGCCCTAGGAGAATATCCCTGGTTCATTTTTAAAGGACAAAAATTTTTTTGCGTGTTATTTAAATGAGAAATTTCAAATGGCCACCGACACCATTTAAAAGTAAGCTAAAAAAATTCCCAATGGGAGAATTTTTTTTTTCAACATATAGGCACTTTTGATACCATAAATTCGATAGTTTAGTCATTTTGGCTCACCCTAATGATCAGTTTTTCATTTTAACTGGTTTTTTATATTGAACCTTGCTCTCAGTGTAAGTATATTTTTCAAATCCCTAATCAAAATTCTTTTCTAAGGTAGAGGTAGCAATTTTTGAGAAAAAGAAAACAATAAACCAAACAGATTTTGATTGTGAACCCTATTAATTTTAATAAAGGTTTCTAGTTAAACAAAATAACTAAATAAAAACAAAGAAATTTTATAATTATGTACCCATAAATATGATGTAAGCATGTAAAGTATTTTTAGAGGATATTGCAACGTGATTGTGAGTGGAAAACAGACCTATTTTACTTAATGAATTATGACGATTAAAAAAAATGCACCAGTTTTACACTGAGAAAAGAGTTTAGTTGGGTATGTAACTAAGTAGCGCCCTCTAGAAAAAAAAAATTAATAACTGATGATGTTAGGACAAATTAAAATTTAGACCTATGTCTGATGCTGTACACAAGAATTAATACAAATATGGGATATCTTTATTTTTAAAGGTATCTCTATTTAGCAGTGTTGTTTAGAATCACTTTACATATTTGTGTATAATAATTAAATTAGGTTACTTCTAAGCAAGTTTTTTTATAAACAGATCAAAATTGTCATGAAAACAAACCAAACAAAATTATTATAATAATAAACCAAAAGAAGTGCCTAACCTTGAAAATTTTTAAAATCCAATAATCAGTTATAATCGCTACAATAACCCTAATTATTGATATTAAACCCTTGCAAGACTTCGCCAATCATATGTCAAACTAAAATTTAAAATCGGTCTTAAAATATGTATAAATTTAAAAAATATACAACAATCAATTAAAAAGATATAATTAATGAGAATTCTCCATTAATTTTTTTCTGGCATTAGAATTTTGTTACAAAGTAGCAACGTCTACATTCGTGAGCCGTTTGTCCCCTAATTAATATACAACTTTTTGCCATTTAAACACCCTTCTGTCTTTTATGATTTTCAATATAACAATGTTTTAATCACAATAAAAATACTGAGGATATTTTAAGAGATTATTTGTATCTACAGTGTAGGAAAACTACTAAAATCATAGATTAACAAGTGCTTATTTTATTTAAATAATCATGACAAAAGCAAGCCCATTATTACCTTCATAAACTAAGCAGAATTGTGGTTTTATCTAATTTGAAAAATAGAAACATTTTTATCTGCATTATATACTCTAAATAATAAAAACAGATGTATTTATCTTATAGAAACTTAAATGGTCGTTCTTCTAGCTTTTTTTTTTTTTCGAAAATTCTATAAAAAGATCTCATTTTATGTGAATTTTTACTAATTTTGACCAATTGAGTACATTTATGTTTTAAGTTTTTTTTCTTGTAATATTACAGCCCCTCACCAATGAATAAATTTACCTAATTAGAGGCAAGGATATTAAGATAAAATAGTTTTTCCTATAGCAATAAAAGTAGGCATGATAAACAGAAAAAATACATTAATTTATAAATATATAAAAAAAGCGTAAAAAAAATTAAAACACTTTACTTACTACTTAACAAATTATCTGGTTAAAATTTGTATTTGTATAAAGTCAAAAAAGAATTAGTAATAAATAATCTCGTATCAAAATGTTGATCCCACATTAACTTTCTTTCTATGATGAAAAAATTTCAATTCATATTCGGACAACAATTTCTAGAGACATCTCTCAAATTATACTGAAATACAATAAATCATAAACGTTTATGAATCAATTTATACAAAACAGCCCATATGGTACAGACTCTAGGATCTCTACTACATACCCAATCAACTCCTTACCACCAACTTTCCTTTCCGATACCCTATGAGAACGGTCCTACGACTCGTCATTCTGTCACGGAACCAGATGCTCTGGACAATACGCCTTGAAATTGCTGTCTAAAAATTGCCAGTTATTAGATCTGGCGCAACAAATGTGCATAACGTTCAAACACCCTCGTCTCAAACACGAAATATTCGCGCCCTTCAGGTGGCATGACTTACACGATACGTTACAACAAGTCCAAACGGCTTCTTCGAGCCCCACGATTTTGGGACCGATGAGATAAGTTCCCGGCGACCAAACGATGCAGTCTTCGTGCGCCCAAATTTCGTAGGTCTTGTTACCTGTGTCCGTGATGCCTAAGTAGACGTCTAGATCGTTTTCGGAAGTACAATCGCTGTCAGAATGTTTTCGTTTAGATTTTTTGCTTTTGGCCGTCGACGCCGCTGCAATTTCTGCGTCCATAGCTTTCGTAATCTAAATGAAATTAAAAAGAGCGTCAAATTGACTTAAAATACGTTTAACGCCCAATGGGCGTGTTTAGTGCAAACGAATTTAACGAATCTAATACTATTAACTGTTTAAGCACAAAAAACACTTGAAACTTTAGTTGGCCATGCATGTCTCAATTAAATTTAACAAATAGCAAATTACAGTTCATCAAATTTCTAGAGGCTTTCGACGGCTAGACAGAGAAAGCACTACTGACAGGCATCCCGACGGATTTACGCAATGAAAGTACACTCTGCGCATCAAGTATTTCACTATTTCACTCAGACGTAAATGTCAGATGTAAATTTCGCTAAAACATTTCTTTTATTTTCGTTTGTTTTTTGCTCATTACAGTTTAATAGAACCTAAGTATGGAGTTTAATAGCAAATTAAGAGGCCGCGTGATTAACAGTCAATCTCGCGAAATAATAGCCAATGTTATAGAGTTTATGAGAAGAGAAGGAAACTTTAATTCACCTTCAATACCATTTAAAAATGTAAATGATCGTGTTGCTGCAGCCACAGGAGTATCTAAAAACACTGTCGTCCGCATTTCTGGAGAGAAAAAAAGAATCGATAACCGTGAGATATCGGAATTTTCATCACCAAGAAAAACCATTAAAAAACCAAAAACAGTTAATGATATAGATGAAGCTGCACAAGAATCAAATTTTATTTTCTTATTATTAGATAGCTATTTTTGTTTCTGAGTTGTGTTCATTTACAGGCTCAATTTTTTTCCGTTTCTCCTTTTTGATTTTATATGGGGTTTCAAGTTGTTTTTGACTTATTTCGACGTAAATCACAACAACACACATTTTTAATAAAGCAAACAAGTGTTAAGAGGTATATGTACGTGTAAACTACAATTACAAAAAATTGATATGAAACCACCAACAAAAATGTAAAGCTAGCTTCCGTACTAGAACATGGTGTCATTCGTCGAGATAATTTATCGTTTTGTTTAATAGATCAAGAAATGTAAATATTCCCCTGTTATTTTTTATAAAATTATAAGAGAAATAAATTTTTTTCTAAATAGTATAGTTTATTATTTTGTAGAAAAACAAAATTTCGAAAATTTTAGTAATGTTTCAGAAACAACCGTTATTAATAATAGGTACCATTTTCCTTAATAAGGTAGAAATAAAATATAAACTATTTCCACGATTTACAAAGGCCTACAAAAAAATTATAGGTATTTTCCGCTATCCTATAAAATTTATATTTTCTGACTCAATTTCAAAAGGTTGAAGGAATTCCAAAACACCTTTTATGGCATAATAATTATTTTCAATTCTACATACTATCTTTAGCTGCTTTTAAAAACGTTCTAAGAAAGTCCAATCAGACCAATTTAATCCCTAAACTATTCCACACTTTTAAAATTTAATTACCTAAAAATATTAAAAACTATTTAAAATAACTTGTTTAGCAGACTGTACAATAGCTTTCTTAGTCACACGTAGCGCGTTCTCTGTCTGGGCGTCGAACACCTCTAGAAATTTGATGAACTGTACTTTTATTAAAATCGATTTAAATGAGAACACAATTAAAACTAATAATAATATCTATATAATAGAAAAAAATTAAGTAAACTTGGCCCCACTTTAAGCTTCCGGAGCTCCTTAGGAGTACAACTTGGTATAGAGGTAAATTGTGTTAAATCATCATATTTTGGGGTGCCCAACAAGAACCCGTTCTGTGTCGTAGGATTTTCCCTTTTACTCTTAAAACAGATTTATAGCAGCCCTAAGGCTATCTCGCGGATTTAAAAGTTTTATCAGTGTCTTAAAAAAAGGTTTTATGGTTACCTTGTATACTTTGATAAATTTAAAAATGTTATTTGGGCACTTTCCTGGATAACCCTGTATAAATGAAATTATCTTTAAATCGTTGCCTTTTCTAATATACATATAGATTTTTAAAAAAGCAGTCTTGACTCTACGAATTGAAGCGTTACTGGTGGCCAACCTTGTATATAGTTATTTAGAATACTCATTGAACAGAATCGATCCAGCCCAAATGTGTTTTGAACCCCTATAATTTCTATACAAATAACTTATAAATGCCATCTTTTCAGAGAAGAGAAATAATAACTTCAAGATCATAATCTCACCTTTTTACTTTTAAACTGCCTGTCATAGGGATCGTCGAGGCGCCTCTCGAACTCAGGACACTGGGTTGTGATGAAGTAAGGACCAAACAGGTCTCCAGGCGGTATGACGCTTCTATCATGAGTAGGACCCGACAATTCGCTGGCGTGCGGCCCCCTTTTGCAGAACGCGCATATCCACGAAGCGTCCTTGGTTTGAGCGTCATATTTATGACTCAGTGTGCTAGAATGCAGCCCCTTCGAACGAACCTAACAATTTAATGATCAACAAAAAAAAGTAGTGTGGATGTTTATGAACTTCGGTTGCACTGGGTTAGTTTATTCAATTAGTAGTGTTAAATAATAAAGTATTTGTTAATTTGTTTAAGTTATTTTTTAGAGTTTATTGGAAATATTAAATTTAGTTTTGTAAATATTGTTTAGGTTAAAAAGATGATTTGAATTTTTATATAAAACTTGTGTATATTTGGATATTTTGTATATTTGTACAAATTAACCATAAATGAAAACAATAGTAACAAAATGCAATATAATACACAACAAATACATAGTTTAGAAAGATACAGAATAAGGTTATTTCTTAAATAATTGGATGTATGTAAAAAAATAGCCAATATTTGGCATTTTATATCAATTTTGTACCAAACATTTTTTTAGATGATAAATGTATAAACAAAAAATAAATTATTTTTATTTCGTTTATGTTCTTCCTTAGAGAAAAGGTTAAATCTCTAGTGGTGTACAAAAGTCAATATTGAGGTATTTTGTACAGCCGAATTATTAAAAAATAAAGACTGCACAACCACTAGACAAACTATTACCATTAAAAGAATGAATGATACTCTTTCAGAAAATTGAAGAAAAGTCATAAAATCCAACAAATGTATAGAGATAGAATACATTTTAAACATAGAAAAGAAAAAAATTACCTTATGCCGATATTCGATGTCGTCGTGAAATTTCTTCGATTTCGGCAACCTCCTTTCTCCATCTTCATCATTTATAGAACTATTAATTACATTGACAGACAAAGGCGAGTCTCTAGGTCCCTTGATTTGAATAAAAGGCCCTCTAGATTTTGTAGAACTCGTGTTACTTCCAGAATCATAGGCATACACATCTTTCACTATGTCAATCCTGCTTGCTGGTTTCTGCTTTAATACCTTAAAAAAATATACATTCTGTAGGATTTCGAAGTAAACACAACTGTGAAACAGAGGACATTTGAGGCTAGTAATAAGAGAAGATTATTAATGAAATTTAATTGGTTTGGGGGGTTGTTACTGGACTGGTTGGGATACACTAGCGACTTCAAAGGGCCCGCGGTTGGACTAACAAAAAGATAAAGTCAGATTTGATAAAATGTATTATGGTTGACAAATACTCGGCTAGTAGTAGCTTTATCGAAATAATAATACTATTTTTTCTATATCTTACAAATACTGTGAGGGTTGCATTAGCAGAAAGAACGTTTTCAAAATTAAAATGAATAAAATAGCTATTTATGGAATCAGTTACGAAATGCCTTGTTTTTTTCTAATTTTGACATATAAAGTGACATTTTTTGTAATCGCAGCAAGTATCAAAATGATCTACTTTATGCAACCAGTTGCATAATGTTACATATTATGAAAAATTCATTATGTTACCAGTTGCGAAAAGAAAAGAAATAAAAACATACCTTTTTGGTTTTAAAATCAATATATACATTGTTATTGAAAGTTTATATCAAATCTAGTAATAATGTTGTTATTTTCCATTCTAAATACAGGGTGTCCCAATGAAAAGTAGCTCATTTCCAGAGCTTATAACTTTTAAACACCTAATCGTAGGTGCGGTTTTTGCTGATATGTGTTATTTTGCTATAAATTTTGCTTCAGTGACACAGAAATTATGTATTACCTATAAAGTGTGTTTTTTAAAAATATCTTTTAAATTCACCAGAAAAAGTTATAAGCTCTGGAAACGGTCTAATTTTCATTGGGACACCCTGTATAATTAAAACAAAATACATCACAAAATAACCTACTTTTTTGAAAATTAATAGTTTTAATAAGCAATATAAACACACTACATATATGCAACTAACAATAAAAGAAAGTAATATTGGTTGCCTAGATGTTAGTAATGTCTTAAATCGCAATTTTATACATCTAGTAAAAATTAGAAAAAACACATTACGAAATGCCATTTTATTAATTTTTAAATCTACATTGAAAGTATATACATTATTAATCTGTACAGAAGAAAACAGTTCCGTATTACCTAAATTAGAATGTATTTAGGGAAAAATGAAAAAAAATTTAATTTAGCCAACCTGTGCGGTCAAGAGCCATCGCGGGTTGCGTCGTAAAAAAAATAATACAAACATGAGAAAAAAATAAAAAAAAAAATAAATTATTCTACCTCACCTTTGCGGCCTTCGAAAAAAAATTATACATACTAGTAAAATGAGAAATATAAAAAAAATAATTTACCTAACCTATGCGGACTAGAGCAATAGCGGGTTGCTTCGCCAAAAAAATTACATAACTCGGAAAATGAGAAAAATAAAAAAAAACTTAACCAATTCACCTAAATCGTGGCCGATGAGCTGTTACGGTGCTGGTGCCATAGGATAGTGTTCTGGGTCGGTCCACTACTGTTTTTAATTTATACCAATGACATTACTAGTGTAAAATAAAAATAAAACCACTCAAAATCGATACAATATACAACGGGGCAACAAACTTCGGCCTATATGGCAGTCATCAGGCATATAATGCAACAATAAGTATTGGGAGAAGTTATATAATAGAGTGGTTTAATATTTACATAATAGTGAAGCGTTTATTTATTTTAAACAACAGTTTATTTGAACACCTATTTATTTTAAAACTATACTAATTGATATATTTTGAATGTCTTTAAATTGTTCACTTTTATCTTCACAACTCTTTTTATACGACTGTCTGGTCCGTGTTCTTCCACCAATATTTATATATATATACATTTAAAATTCTGGTGAAGATCTAGAATGCTCCCTCCAAAACTAGAAACATTATTACGTTCGTTCTGCGCCTTTGCCATAGTCGTCACATATGTTTAATTATGTATGATAATTGGACAAGTTGAGCCTCAAAGGCCAAATAAGACAGAGATGGACTTGGAGGATTAGAGCATGACTGAATAATGAAATGGCTCGCATTACAATACGAAATGTTGTAAAGTTAAAATTATACAAAAATAATCCATCAAGTGGCGTGAAGTAACTTATAATCTTAGGTAACAACAAAAGACTATTGTATATTAAGATGGTACAAAGTATACAGGGTGTTTCAAAAAGGTATGTCATAACTTCTTCCTCAGATAGATTACCAAAAAATAAGTGGATTTGGCTATATTTACCTATATCAAAAACTGGCTCCCAACAAAGTTACATAGCGTTAAACTTACATTCAGAAAAACGTTTTTTTTTATTTTGTAAAAAGTATGCTGTTGCCATTTTTTCTTTGACATTTTTGCCATTGCTGTAAATTTGAAGGCCCAATATTCTAAAGAGAAAAAAAATTAAAGCGACCCCTTTAAAAAACGTTGGAGGGTTGGGTACCTTTTAACCCCCCGTTTTTTTTTGTCATAAAGAAACTTGCTTTATCGATCTTAAAATCAAAAAGAACTATGAATTTTTAATTTTTTTTTATAGCAAAATGAACTTTGTATCTTTCTTAGTTAACGAGCTATTTACAGTTTTTTAACTGAATTTCTAGAGCAATTCGTCCGTCCTGGACTTAACATATCAACAAAACTAAGAGTTAGTTTAACGCCCTGTTTAACGTAAATATAGCTAAATCCACTTATTTTTTGGTAATTTATCTGAGGAAGAATTTATGACATACCTTTTTGAAACACCCTGTATAAAACTAAGTGTAAGCTAGAAAAAAGCGAGGGTATCGACAAAATTGAATTAAATATAAAAAAAAATAAGAAATTTAGAAGAACAACTTACCAATGAGGAGTAGCAAAACTCCTTGGTGTTAAAGATGAAGGAGAAATTAAATTATTAGAGAAGGTGTCAGCATCGCGCTATTACTAGATACCTTCTCAAGTAAAATCAAAAATCAATTTAAATTCTGTAAGCAGAATCACAAATCAAAATTAAATTTTTAAATTCCCAAGTAAAATCGCAAATCAGAACTAAATTTATTACGTGAAAACTATTATTAACGTATTCGGCCCAAATTAATTTACTATAATTTATTCGATCACGGCAAAACGAAAAACTATTTCAAATAAATACGATCGCAAGAAATAAAATTCTAAATAAGGCGTTAAATGAAATCAAATCTACACCAAAAAAACGCAAGCGCTTTTTTGCAAATTATCGGAAACACAATACCTTCGAGTAAACTTTGAACGCGGTGTATTTATTACCTGTTATTTTCTTCGGATTCTGCAAATTATGAATAAAAGTGAGCCTCTCATTCCTCTGACAGATGTATCCTTGCCTCCCCCCCAAAGAATCACCAAGTAGCGGCGGACCGTTGAAGGTGCGTACAACAGACACGGTCACGAATTTACGAATACGCGGAATCGGATTGAATATTTTTCAATTATAAATTTAATTAGTTTTAAAAATACAGAGTGATTTGAAACATACATGAATGGATCGAATATTTTGTTATTGTCAAAATAAATAATTAAAAATTAATAAATAAAAAATAAGTTTATTACAGATTGAAGATTGAAATGTTATCCAGTTAAACTTATTAAAAAATGAGCTTCTATAACGTTTTTGCCCGATTTTTAGGTACTTTGAGGACTAGTTATTTGCCAAACCCACCCGTAGTCAAGGTTAATAACACCCAAACGTTCTTATCTACTATAATGGACACAACAAAGGAGATCTTTCATTTGTTTCCGGACTATCTGGCTGGCATTTTTTTAGGGATATTTTTTTAAATCGATTTTTGAGAACGCAGCGCAAACCGATAGTTTGATTTAAAAACTCGTATCCAATCTTTATCTAGACCTGCGGCCCTCCAAACTGTCTTGTGCGGCCCTCCAAGCTTTTTTGTCCAGCACCAAACCCTATTATTAGGAAAGAGAGTCCTTTTTTGAAACAAATTGTCCCAAAGCTTATTAAAACAACATGAGGACCTTCTTTTTTTTTAGACAATATTTAAAGCAGATCCCTATCGTCACCCATTGTGCTTTATTTACATTTCAAAAAGGTGGCAACTCTGGTTATCACCCAAAAATATTGTGGAAACAGATTTATGTAGCCCGAAAGAAAACAAGGTTGAGTACAGCTGATCTAAAGGATATTTGTGACAAAACACCCCACCAGCTAGTACTTATAGTTTACGTTCTAGAGCGTCCTGAAGAGAGTCGTGTCTTGTCGTTGAAGGTTACACTCCCAAGTTTTGCAATGCTTACATTTCGTGAGTGCTATGGGCCGAACTAATGGTGGTATTAAAATATTTCGAATACCGCATTATACCTAAATGAATACCCTTTACAATAGTTTTGTGTTCGAGTAGATAGCTTGACAATGGAATGGCGAGCGCTCAAAATCGGCTGACGTTTGTAAATTTCATCATATTTATCCCTATTTTTAACAGACTTCAAAAAAAAAGGAGGAGGTTCTCAATTTGTCGTATTTTTTTTTATGTATGTTCATATATGTTCAGCGATAATTATTTAACACGGTGTCCGATTTCAATGATTCTTTTTTTGTTAGAAAGGGAGTACTTCAGGGGTGGTCCCATATAAATTTGGCCAAAATATAATAATTGGGTCCATGAGAAAATCCTCAAATTCTTTATTTTTTATGTATGTTTAGCGATAATGCTTTACCACCTTGTCCGATTTATATGATTTTTTTGTTAGTAAGGGGGTACCTCAGAGGTGGTCCCCATATAAATTTGGTTAAGATGTGGTGATGGCATCTGCACGACTTTGAAGTCGGTTTTTTTAAATTTTTAATTTCTAATACTTGTGTTACACTTATATCCCTGGAAAACAGATTTGAAAAAAATGCTTCCGCCAATCAATCGGAAATTTAGTCAAGTTCGTGTTCCCCATAGGATGTAGTTTTAATGCGAATACTGCATGACTGAAACGCCTATTAAAGAAGCACGGTCCTAGGTCAAGAAATTCGGAAAACATTAAATTTGTCATGGAG